TTTTTTGGATAGACTTGTGACTGGCGACGAAAAATGTATCTTTTATCGAAATGTTAAGCGTCGTAGACAGTGGCTTGGTAAAGGGGAAGGACCCCAGCCACAGCCGAGAAAGGAACTTCATGGGCAAAAGGTTCTTCTTTCAATCTGGTGGGATCGCCAAGAAATAATCCACTTTGAATTCTTACCACCTAATGCAACAATTAATGCTCAAATATACTGTCAGCAATTAGAGCGTTTGAACCAAGCTTTGAGGAAAAAAAAGACCTGCTCTAGTGAATCGAAAAGAGGTGATGTTTCATCAGGACAATGCGCGACCCCACACAGCAAGAATCACGTCACAAAAGATCGAAGAACTTGGTTGGGAGAAAATTCCTCATCCACCTTATTATCCCGATCTTCCTACATCAGACTACCATTTGTTTCGTAGCTTACAGAATCATTTGGAAGAAACAGCTTTTGTAACACAGGAAGAGGTTAAAACTGACATTTTTGAGTTCTTCGAATCAAAGCAAAAAGAATTTTACAGTAATGGAATTAGTAAGCTTGTTAATAGATGGAAGGAAGTCATAGATAATCAGGGAAAATGCAATGTTGATTGAATCTGTAATTAAATGTAACATTTGGTCACTTGTTTTCTTTATTCAAAATTCGGACAGAACTTATAAGATGACCTGATAATATATAAATAATATATATAATATTTGCACACACACACACACACATATATATATATATATATATATATATATATATATATATATATATATTTATATTTATATACATACAATTTTCATATATATATATAGATATATATATATACTTCTCTTTGTTTTAACATATATATATATATATATATATATATATATATATATATATATATATATATATATATATATATATAATCTTTTTGAAGATTTTACGGCAACTAAATTGCTCCCGCACCAATTTATTTAGAATTAGGCGTGTTGTTAGCAACTCTGTTAGATGAAAAATATGACTTTACCTTGCAAAAGCGGTGAGCTCTCGACGCGTCAATGTCCTGGTAACTAAAGCGGGTGTTTCAATAAAAACACCGTGGAGAAGGCAACGGGAAATCATTTTATCAAACGCGAGAACATTCACGAGTTTGGACAATATTATTTTAAAAGAAAATGTTTTTAAGTCGGGGTGGTAAGTGTAATCACAATAACTCCTCGCCTCGTTAGGAGGGTGCGTGCAACAGGTAACACCTGATAGTTATCCAGAAACTATTAGCAATCTATAACGAACAACAGCATGAGATGGGATTAGGATCCTTCGAATTGATCATTCAATCGATGAGGAAAGATATGGACAACAGGTGTCACCGAACCGTGGCCAAACGAATGGAAAAACGAATGCATAGATTAAGTGTTAATATTTTAGGTATATGCGAAACAAGATAAGCAAACCATGGAGATATTGTTAGTAACAAACACGGGGATATACGAGGATAGGCTGAAAATTCCATAGGCTGATTATGAAGGAGTGACGCTAGAGCTGTGAAAACTTGCATTCATTAATTTCAAGTCTTCTTATTAATAACTGAATTATTTCTTTCCAGGTACGAGAGTGAGCTGAAACGTTCATAGCCTGATTATGGAGGAGTGATGCTAGAGCTGTGAAATCTTACATGCATTCATTTCAAATCTACTTATTAATAACTGCATTGTTTCTTTCCAGGTACGAGTGAGGGCTGAAAAGTTCATAGGCTGACAATGAAAGATTGATGCTAGAGCTGTGAAATCTTACATTCATTCATTTCAACTATTCTTATTAATAACTGCATTATTTTTACCAGGTAAGAGGGAGGGCTGAAATTTTCATAGGCTGACAATGAAAGATTGATGCTAGAGCTGTGAAATCTTACATGCATTCATTTCATATCTTCTTATAAATAACTGCATTATTTCTCTCCAGGTAAGAGGGAGGACTGAAAAGTTCGTAGGCTGACTATGGAGGAGTGATGCTAGAGCTGTGAAATCTTGCATTCATTTCAACTCTTCTTATTAGTAATTGCATTATTTCTTTCCAGGTACGAGGGAGGGCTGAAAAGTTCATAGGCTGACTATGGAGGAGTGATGCTAGATCTGTGAAATCTTACATGCATTCATTTCATATCTTCTTATTAATAACTGCATTATTTCTTTCCAGGTACGAGGGAGGGCTGAAAAGTTCATAGGCTGATTATGGAGCAGTTATACTAGAGCTGTGAAATCTTACATGTATTCATTTCAAATCTTCTTATTAATAACTGCATTATTTCTTTCCAGGTATGAGGGAGGGCTGAAAAGTTCATAGGCTGACTATGAGAAAGTGATGCTAGAGCTGTGAAATCTTTCATGCATTCATTTCAACTCTTCTTATTAGTAATTGCATTATTTCTTTCCAGGTATGAGGGAGGGCTGAAAAATTCATTCGCTGACTATGGAGGAGTGATGCTAGAGCTGTGAAATCTTACATGCATTCATTTAAACTCTTCTTATTAATAACTGCATTGTTTCTTTCCATGTACGAGGGAGGGCTGAAAAGTTCATAGGCTGACAATGAAAGATAGATGCTAGAGCTGTGAAATCTTACATGCATTCATTTCAACATTTCTTATTAATAACTGCATTATTTTTTTCCAGGTACGAGGGTGCGCTGAAAAGTTCATAGGCTGACAATGAAAGATTGATGCTAGAGCTGTGAAATCTTACATGCATTCATTTCAACACTTCTTATTAATAACTGCATTATTTTTTTCCAGGTACGAGGTAGGGCTGAAAAGTTCATAGGCCGACTATGAAAGAGTGATGCTAGAGCTGTGAAATCTTACATGCATTCATTTCAACTCTTCTTATTAATAACTGCATTGTTTCTTTCCAGGTACGAGGGTAGGCTGAAAAGTTCATAGGCTGACTATGGAGGAGTGATGCTAGAGCTGTGAAATCGTGCATGAATTTATTTCAAGGCTTCTTATTAATAACTGCATTATTTCTTTCCTCTTACTAGGGAGGGCTGAAAAGTTCATAGGCTGACTATGAAGGAATGATGCTAGAGCTGTGAAATCTTACATGCATTCATTTCAACTCTTCTTATTAATAGCTGTATTATTTCTTCCCATGTAATAGGCAGGGCTGAAAAGTTCACAGGCTGTATATGAAGGAGTCATGCTAGAGCTGTGAAATCGTGCATGCATTTATTTCAACGCTTCTTATTTCTTTCCATGTACGAGGGAGGGCTGAAAACAATAGGCTGACTAGGAAGGTGTGTTGCTAGAACTGTGAAATCTTACATGCATTCATTTCAACTCTTCTTATTTATAACTGCATTGTTTCTTTCCAGGTACGAGGGTGAGCTGAATAGTTCATAGGCTCACTATGGAGGAGTGATGCTAGAACTGTGAAATCTTGCGTGCATTCATTTCAACGCTTCTTTTTTATAACTGCATCAACTGGTATCTGACTTCTAAGAAGATTTCATATTTAAGTACTAGCAACTTCTCCTGAAAATGGACAATATTTGGCACTGAGATTTTATAAGTACCTTCCGAAAAAGGGTTTAGCCTCCAAGGACATTCATGACATGTTTTTACATTAGATGTCGCGCCAGCTTTACCAAGAGTGCAAAAGTGGGCAGCTGAATTTAGGATGGAAAGGGAGAATCTTGGCGATGAACCAATGTCTGAACGTCCTGTAAATGCCACCACCGAGAAAAATATTGATCGCTTTCACCACGAGTTGATGGACGACAGGCGATTGGCTATAAATCAAATAGCCAATGCTATTAGCTTATCCCGCGAGAGAGTTGAGAATATTTGGAACTTTGCATAACGAAAGTTTTTGCTCAGTGGCTGACACGTCTTCTGACACCTGATCAAAGGTGCACCAGGCTGATCTCACCCCGGGAAAATCTGACATTGTTTCTTAACTCAGGACGATTGTTGGTTTCGTCGGTTTGAGTCAGAGACAAAGGGACAATCTATGCATTAGAAACAACTCCCGTGACCTGCTCCAAAAAGGCCAAGGTCGTTACAGCAGCAGGGAAGTTGATGGCTTCAGTTTTTTGGAATGCAAAGGGAATTGTCTTTATTGACTATCATCAAAAGGTCTCCATATCAATGGAAAGCACGATGCTAATTAACTGAGGCAGTTACAAAAGCCTATAGATTCCAAACGACCAGAAATCTGAGGAAAGGGATCTTATTTCATCTGGTCAATGTTCCAGCGTACAAGCCTCTGGTTTCAATCTCTGCTGTACGTGACTGTGGCTTTGAACTGGTTAATCACCCTACCTATTCTCCAGATATGGCTCCTTATGTCTATAATCTGTTCCCTGACATAAAAATACACTTTACTGAGAACCAGTATTGTCATATCTGCTGTTGATGACATTATCAGACCAAAGATAGCGTCTTCATTGGGATCCAGGCATTGCAAGACAGCTGGAAGATTTGTGTAAACTGCAAAGGGGGCTATGTTGAAAATAAACCTCATTGGCTCACACTTTTTAAGAGTATCTTTGTCAGTCTATGGATCCGCGCATTATGTAATATACGAATCATATCTCACAATTAACTGGTATTTTTCATACATTGATGGCCATATTCTTTTTCCCATGTACCAAATGAATTAAAAATGTATTCCTGCAGTAAGTATGTAGAAGGCTGTTATCTTTCATTTGAAAGGATGTCATACGGGGCTCTTGAGAGTCATATGACAGCCTGTTGGTGAGAAAAATCAATTACTGCTTAGCTTACCAAAGAGGCGGATGCAAGATTCAGTTGCCGTTTAGCTGGCCACGGATGACGGAGTAATTCACGTATGACTTAAATAAGAACCTAAATGATAAGGGGGTGTGCGTTACTTGTAATAGCATTTTTATTCGTCTTGGTCACATACCGCTTGGCTTTTTGTATCTTAATTTCTTTGTGTAGGACAATTTGTAACATGTCAATAGATCTACAGTTCAAATTAGTTCAGAAAACGATAGACAGATTATTATATAGAAACAGATTGAGATAGATAGATAGATAGATAGATAGATAGATAGATAGATAGATAGATAGATATGAACAGTGACATAGACATGAACAGTGAGATAGATAGATAGATAGATAGATAGATAGATAGATAGATAGATAGATAGATAGATATTAACAGGGTGAAATAGATAGATAGATAGATAGATAGATAGATAGATAGATAGAAAGAAAGAAAGAAACAAATAACATAAAAAGATAGATAAACATAGACAGATAGATATAGAAACAGATTAACATAGAAACAAATTAACATAGATAGATAGGAAGGAAGGAAGGAAGGAAGGAGCAGACTAAGATAGATAGATAGATAGATAGATAGATAGATAGATAGATAGAAACAAATTAACATAAATAGATAGATAGATATGAACAGAGTGAGGTAGATAGATAGAAACAAATTAACATAGAGAGATATGAACAGATTGAGATAGATAGATAGATAGATAGATAGATAGATAGATAGATAGATATGAACAGTGACATAGACATGAACAGTGAGATAGACAGATAGATAGATAGGTAGATAGATATAAACAGAGTGAAATAGATAGATAGATAGATAGATAGATAGATAGATAGATAGATAGATAGATAGATAGATAGAAATGACATAAAAAGATAGATAAACATAGACAGATAGATATAGAAACAGATTAACATAGAAACAAATTAACATAGATAGATAGATAGATAGATAGATAGATAGATAGATAGATAGATAGATAGATAGGAAGGAAGGATGGAAGGAAGTAGCAGACTAAGATAGATAGATAGATAGATAGATAGATAGGAAGGAAGGAAGGAGCAGACTAAGATAGATAGATAGATAGGAAGGAAGGAAGTTAGCAGACTAAGATAGATAGATAGATAGATAGATAGATAGATAGATAGATAGATAGAGTGGAACAGACTGAAATATATATATATATATATATAGATAGATAGATAGATAGATAGATAGATAGATAGAAACAAATTAACATAGATTTCACTTCTATTTATTTATTTCAGTTGTATATAAAATGTTTTCATCTACAACTCATTAATTCGGTTTATTTTAGCTTTTCCTTCTATATCATAGATAGACTGCAGGAAACCAACTTATTTCCTTTCTCTCTCAAAGTACCCTTTTACTGATTTTTAACTTATAAATCTGATTTTCATTTCTGTCCTCGGGCTAAAAATTAACCGCCATACCTTGTAATTATACATGTGCTGATTACAAATACTGGTACATTTGAATTCTTATAGTTTAGACACAAACACACTCCATTCGTTCAGCTTATTCTAAATTTTTGTCTTCCGACATTACTTGCCTCGTTTTGACGCGATGACCTAGAGTTATAATCTCTGTCTTGTCGATAGTCAGAGAAGACAAGATGTCTGGAGTTTATATCCAGTGCAATCAAATTCAGAAGATCCATATGTAAAACAATGTTCACTGGTGTCGATAGATGATATTTTATTGATCCAGACGCGTCGGCGAAATCAAATCAGGCAGGGCCAAGTATTTGTCTCGTAGACTATCGAACTAATCAAGATCTTAGAGTTCGAAAAATTATTTGAATTAGTTATCGATTAGTTAAATGGGACGAGAAGTCGAGAGATCAATAGGAATGAAAAATAGATTCGGTTGATTGGAAATCGATGGCGAGGTTGATCTGTGAATCTTATCAAGTAAAGGAGGGGAGCTTCTGCACTCGTGACTGGATTTGGATTTCTTCAAGAAGACAAATCAAACAAGGAAGAAATCGGAAATAAAAAAAAACAATCAGAAATTAAAAGACTTTTGGTAAAACTAGAAAGAAAGTGAAGAGAAAAAGAAATAAAACGTGACGGATAAAGAAGGAATGAAGAAATAGAATACAACAAATGCATTAATGAAAAAAGAAAGAATGATTTGGGGGAAGGAATTGAAAAATAAGCTAGGTGTTTAATTAAAATTGAAAATGATAGCGAAAAGAGGATGCGGTGATGATTGGATTAAGACAAAAAGGGGACAAAAACAGAAACCTAAGAAAAAAAAGAAGGATAGAAAGGTGTAGAAGAAAGAAAGAAAGAAAGAAAGAAAGAAAGGAAGAAAGAAAGAAAGAAAGAAAGGAAGAAAGAAAGGAAGAAAGAAAGAAAGGAATCACATGAAACTGAACTCAAGGCTACGATTTCAAAGATATTCAAAACAAGGCTTACATGTGTATGAGATAACTGTTGAGTTATACATGTGTCAGAATATATAGATTTTTTTTGTAAAATGCATAAATGAATGATGGATACATATGAAAAGACTAAGATAGATAGATAGATTGATAGGAAGGAAGGAAGAAAGGAACAGACTAAGATAGATAGATAGATAGATAGATAGATAGATAGATAGATAGGATCAGACTGAAATAGATAGATAGATAGAAAGGAAGGAAGGAAGGAAGGAAGGAAGGAAGAAAGGAAGGAGCAGACTAAGATAGATAGATAGATAGATAGATAGATAGATAGATAGATAGATAGATAGGAACAGACTGAAATAGATAGATAGATAGATAGATAGATAGATAGATAGATAGTAACAGACTGAAATAGATAGATAGATAGATAAGAAGGAGCAGACTAAGATAGATAGATAGATAGATAGATAGATAGGAACAGACTGAAATAGATAGATAGATAGATAGATAGATAGATAGATAGGAAGGAAGGAAGGAAGGAAGGAAGGAAGGAAGGAAGGAAGGAAGGAAGGAGCAGACTAAGATAGATAGATAGGAACAGACTGAAATAGATAGTAACAGACTGAAATAGATCGATAGATAGATAGATAGATAAGAAGGAGCAGACTAAGATAGATAGATAGAAAGGAACAGACTGAAATAGATAGATAGATAGATAGATAGATAGATAGATAGGAAGGAAGGAAGGAAGGAAGGAAGGAAGGAAGGAGCAGACTAAGATAGATAGATAGGAACAGACTGAAATAGATAGTAACAGACTGAAATAGATAGATAGATAAATAGATCGATAGATAGATAGATAGATAGATAGATAGATAGATAAGAAGGAGCAGACTAAGATAGATAGATAGATAGATAGGAACAGACTGAAATAGATAGATAGATAGATAGATAGATAGATAGATAGATAGATAGATAGATAGATAAGAAGGAGAAGACTTAGATAGATAGATAGATAGATAGATAGATAGATAGATAGATAGATAGATAGATAGATAGATAGATAGGAACGGAATGAGATAGATAGATAGATAGATAGATAGATAGATAGATAGATAGATAGATAGGAACAGACTGAAATAGATAGATAGGAACAGACTAAATAGATAGATAGATAGATAGATAGATAGATAGATAGATAGATAGATAGATTTTATGCTCTATTAGAAGGAAAGAATGTTGTTGAAGTTGTCACCGTCCAGGTTGCAAAAGAACTTAAAATCTTAGCAAAAATGGTCATTGATACAGTCGTCTCCGAGCTAAGTTTAACTAATGGTGTTCGCAAATGAAACATCCAGGAATTGAAAAGACTTTATTTCGGAATGAAATTACCTTTTCTGTTCAAATTCCAGACAGCAATGTCCGAGAGTGTCGATGCCCAAATTATTACAATCCACTTTAACGAGTCTTAAGAGTTTACCCCCGAAACCCCTGAATGTGATTTAATGAATCTAGTGTCACTGTTTAATAGAGACGAAATTGTGAAAACGGCACGTCCGGCGGCCATGTTGCCAAACACCATGTACACCAATCTGATTCGTAAGTGTCTGAAGTTTTATTTTGAAACAGACTCAAGCTGAGTGATTACCATAGCGTGACGCGTGATAAGCTCGCATCGTGGACTGCTTTTTGAGTTCGATCTTTGACTAAATTCACTTTTATTTAACACTATCAAAGCGTTAATGCTAATGGTAATATCAGCCCTTTAATTAACCTGAAGATTACTTCAAATTAGAAAAACTCCATCAATAATGGGAAAATAGATAACAGCTACTGGACTTGCGAAACCTATATACATGAAAAAAATCCACCTTAAAGTTAATGTATTGATGATGAAAGGGACGATGCTGATGATATAGATATACATAGTTGAGATAAGAATGATCTTGAACGATCGAAACTTTCCTATTGATGTCACACATGGCGCCAAATCCGTTCAGAAATATCTAAACTGTCAGTTGTACACAAACACTCTCTCATATCATTTGTTAAAAAAAAGGTTTCCTAGCGAATGAAGCCGGTAGGTCTTTGTAAGGATTTTTTTTTTTTTGAACTTTTGCAAAAAGAAAGAAATTTATCAATCACAGTAACTACATCACAGGATGAATTTCGACAACAGATAAAATGAATAGAATATATAACACATGACAAAATTATCAAAATGCTGACACATTCCACACTACTTCAAACATAATGTTAGCAAGGAAACCTCCATTAATAACGATACCTGATGCTTGACTTAAGCAACCAATTTACTTGAAAAAATTGTCTCAAGAGAATTATTGTATTAATTTCAACCGAATGTAGCACTGTCTATTCGCTCAATGAATGATGAATGTTTCCTTAAGTAAGGCAGGAATAATGTGTCACTGCCGACACTTGAGTTTGAACCTAGATCGCCAGTGGGCAAACACAGGCGATACCATTATTGAATTAAGCAGACCACGCGCCCATAGAGGAAACGCATATATAGGAAGTCGCGTGACGTTTAGATTGATCGCTATTCCTAGACTATCCTCTACTACTATACGGATCGCTATTTCTAGTCTATCCTCTATTACTATAAGGACTGCTATACTCTCCTCTATTCACTATACTATTTCTCTATTCGGATCTGTATACGGATTAATTGACGAGAAAGTATTATCGAGCAAGTACTACTAGTGCAAGTGTTATTCGAAGGCGTCTGATACCAGTATTGTTCAACGGTGTTACTATAGTTGTATCTGCGATTACAAAATCTCTACTAACACGAGAGGAGGCACGGTGGAGTAATGGATAGCGGCTTGGATTGGGGAATCCAGTCGAATCCATTACATTCATTTACGTGCTAATACCTTTGGGAAAGGTGTGAATCATCTTCTTCTCCCTCCAGCTATGGGTAAATAGCAGGACAGACTGTGTACTTGCCTTGGATGGCAACTAGTCTAGGAGAAGGACAACTCTGAATTCAAACCTGGAGTGGAGCACCTAAGGCGGATGGACGGCACTTTGTGCTACCTTCCGGGAACTCCTGCAGCCGCGCTGGTACCAAACTTTATTGGTTTATCCTCTCCTTTGGATTCTGTTAGCAAGGCCGAGACGGGGAACTAGACATCTGGGCAGCCCTAGTTCTTCATATATCTCACCCAAGCTCGTAGCTAGCGCACCGCGCTACTCCATCGTCTCTCGAGACGGACGGATGCCGACGGCGACTACAACGAGCTTTACGAAAGCGACAATGAGTATTCGTCGGGATTACAAAAGTGCCAAACGAGTGTTCGTTGACATCACAAAACCTTATAAGGAAGCTGGAACTTGAGGTCACATGGACCAGTGGATAAAGACGTTGGTTACATCCAGTGACAGCACCCAAAGAGTGTGAGTTCAATACCCAGTTAAGACAGTGGAGAACTTGGAGAGGGGAATTAACAGAACATAACTGATAATTGACATCCATTAAACATGGCACGTTGAACAAGAACAGTCTACTCCAGTGAGCGAAATAAAGCGTTCAATTCGACATTCCAACCACCTGAAGAAGGCCGGAGCGTACAATGGCTGAAACGTTGTAATAAATATGGCAACAAAGATAAGGACAATAGTCCGTATATTGTAAATAATGTACATAATACCTCATCTCAGAAATATAGACAGATACTGAAGGGTCGAAACGTTGTAATAAATATGGCAACAAAGATAAGGACAATAGTCCGAATAATGTAAATAGTGTACATAATACCTCATCTCAGAAATATAGACAGATACTGAAAGGCCGAAACGTTGTAATAAATATGGCAAACAAAGATCAGGACAATAGTCCGAATAATGTAAATAGTGTACATAATACCTCATGTCAGAAATATAGACAGATACTGAAGGGTCGAAACGTTGCAATAAATATGGCGACAAAGATAAGGACAATAGTCCGAATAATGTAAATAGTGTACATAATACCACATCTCAGAAATATAGAGATACTGAAAGGCTGAAACGTTGTAATAAATATGACGACTAAGATGAGGGCAATAGTCCAAATAATGTAAATAGTGATAATATGTTTTTCAAGTTCACTAACTGTTATTGATCTTTCCAGTATTGATGGAGGCTTCCTTCCTAACCTTTTGTTTGAAGAAGTACGCAATGCCAACATCTTGATTCTCTCATTTTTTTTTTATCTTTGATTTACATGTGCTATCCATTTTTGTTGTTGCTGCTTTTGGTAGTCCTTAAGTCATGTGATTTCTGTTATTTAATAAGGTTCTTTGTTTATGCAAGGTTTCAATGAAACTTTGTCCTCGCTAAGACCTGGCACTCATTTTGAGTTATTACATTCGGATTACTAACATAAAAACAGAGAATGTCTCATATCGAGTATTCAACATCGAAAAACATAAAGGAAAGAAATAATTATTTTTAATAATATGTGGAAATCTCCGCCTTTTACCTGAAGACGGTTGCGAGACCAGAAACACGTGTAGTGAAATTATGGAAAATAAAGCATAACCAAAAACAACCAAAAACGTTTGCGGTACCTCTTTTCTTTTTTATATATATATATATATATATATATATATATATATATATATATATATATGTGTGTGTGTGTGTGTGTGTGTGTGTGTGTGTGTGTGTGTGTGTGTGTTGTGTTTATGGCAGCAATCCTTCTTTCATGGACTTTTCATTGAATACGACAGAAAAAAATTTAGTATTTTATACAATTTCTCGTGCGATCTAATAATTTTTTCTTTCCGGATAATAAATTATATAGAAACTGTCCGAATCTTCTTTTTATCCGAGCGCTTTCGGCTATACATTTAGCCATTTTCAAGGATTAAATTTTTTCACAGTAAATAATTATATAGGCCACACTACAACATGTTTGACACGCAGACTCACTCTACACCTTTCTGACCATAGCTCAATTATATCTCATTTAAATATTCATGGAGACCTATCAGACACTATTTGTAACATACTTGTTGACAACATTAATATAATAGCTTCATCTACATGCAAAAAAAGGCTAAAAATAATGGAAGCCTTATTAATAAAAACAAAAAAAAAACACTTAATAATATTAACTTTGAACATGGACACAATATCTTGACCGCGTTTTGAAAAATGAAAACATTTTATAAATACAACAAACTATGTTTTATTTAACAGTTAAAATATTTAATCCTTGAAAATGGATAAATGTATAGCCGAAAGCGCTCGGCTAAAAAGAACATTCGGACAGTTTTTATATAATTTATCACCCAAAACAAAAATATATATATATATATATATATATATATATATATATATATATATATATATATAGTTTTAAAAACAAGGAATGCATTGATTTTAATTTTAAAAGTCTCTAGGGCCCTTTCAGCCAACATCTCATCAGGAGACAATCGTTGGATTAGCGAAAAGAATATTAACGATAATGAAGAGCAAAAAGAGGGGGAAACACACTAAAATAACAAACAAGTATATATACTTGTAACGAGGGGAGGGGAAATAACCGTGTAAATAAATTAGCGAGGGACAGTTAAAATAAAATATCCCCCAACAGATTAAGAGACTTTGCAAATTCTTTCTGCCGGCAGAGAGAAGGTTTCCTTAATCCTATACAGACCGATTCCAAAATCTTCAAATGATTGTTGGAATCGGCTGTATGAATAATTTTAAACCACTCTTTTTAAACAACTTAGCGCAGGCTATATTCTCAACTAAATGTTGAGCAATAGCCGATTCCATATTCATGGGGGGAAGATAGCATATTCTATCTATCTTACCAAGTCGTATTTTGGAAGGTACGTGCTGATTGATTCTAGTTTCCAAATGCAAGGTTGTACGCCCCACATAACCAGCAGCACACTGGCAATTAAATTCATATACTAAATTACTCAATTTGATGTAGGGCAATACATCCTTGCGAAAAGACGGAAACGCAGACCTAGTTCGAAAAATGCTACGTAAAGCAGCTGATGGGAAACAACCGGAAACCGACTTGCTAACCTGCTTAATTAAGCCCTGACCCCTATCCCCAATCCAGGGAATCTTCAAATAAACCGGACATTTAGAAGGCCCCTGGATTTTAGGGGAATGAAATTCCTTAGTCTTCTTACTAATAATATAGTCAATAAGGGCCTCCGGATAGCCGTTACTAAGGAAAATCTCCCTAATGTTCTCAAATTCACGGTCCAATCTAATAGGAGAACAAATTTTAAGCGCTCTATACACCAAGGTTTTAACAAGATTGATTTTCCTTGATGCAGGAGCAAATGAACGCCAATTCAAATAAAGACCCGTAAAGGTGGGTTTACGGTTGAAAGGGCCCTAGAGACTTTTAAAATTAAAATCAATGCATTCCTTGTTTTTAAAACTATATATAAATTTTGTACCTCCAAACATATTTTATATATATATATATATATATATATATATATATATATATATATTGACTCTCATAAAGAAAGGTGTGGTGACGTGATACCAGGTGGGATCCTAAAGAAATATGTCCCTTAGCTGGCTCCAGATTTTTCCAAA